CCGAACTTAGCCCCTAAGCCTTTCACAGCCTTGAACCCCCTGTCCAAATGCACTATAGATGTCCCCCTCTGCGAAAGAAACGGAAGCTCTCCCTCGGCCGCCTTCGTTTTGGAGGATGGCCTCGGAGAAACAGAGGGTGCCCGGCTGGAGATGAAGTGGCCACCGGCGCGGGAGCCGCGGAGTAATCGTGCGGCTGGTCCGAGAGTAGGGCCTTTAAGGGCATTGGGTTTGGGTTTCTGGGGTTTCAGGGATTGTGTCGTGCTTTGCAGTCAGGGTTTTTGATCCAGAGCTCCTTCTTGGAATCTGCAGGTTCGTCTTGAATTTTGTGACACTTGATGTGTTATACAGTGTTCAAACATGTCCAAGATTGACTTGTTTAATTTATGAACTTGATTTCAAGCAGGGCTTGTGCCGACAGTTTATGCTTCATACCCCAACTCCCGAGGCAACCTGCTGAATTGCATAGGGTGTGGGCCTTGAGCAGAACAGCAGGTCAATGTCACCATGATTCTCACCGATGCTGCTTGGCAGAGAGAGGCAGCCATGCCCCAGAATTTAACGATTGATAGTGAGCGATACGAAGCCCAAATCCGAAACCCCACACCCACCCTAAGCCAAGATGTCCTTGAACCTCAAGGCTTCAAGCTTTGTTTCCCCCCGACCCCCCTAAAGCCTGGAACCTCCAAAACCAGAACTCCAAGCCCGAAGCAGCTGCATTGGTAAGCTTGAGCACTCTAACGCCCAAGCCCTAAAAAGTCACGTGCCGCACCACCGATGTTCCTTTCCAGCGATTGATAGTTGGGACGGGGTTCTGGTACCTCTGTATCATGGGCACCCTAAATCCTTGCAAGTCAGACTTCTGTTATTGCATCGTGTAGAGGGCTACCAAACTTGGAGGGCCATTTAGGAGGCACAGGAAGGTCAAGTTGACGGGCCCCAAGGCTTCGCCGAAAGAAATGCATGTTCGAAGGATTTTGCAGCCTTCCTGGCCGTGGCCGACCCCGACACAACACCCTGGACTCGACTCGACCGTCGGGGATGCTGTCAAACACCTGAACCCCCCGAACCTGACAGCTCTCCCAAGATTCAAAGGTGCACAGTTTCGATGAGCCTGGAGAAAAGATCACTGTCTACGCCTTCATGAGGCTCTGGTGGCGCCTTGTTCGACGACACTTCTAGCTCAGCATTGAAACCTAACTACTGTCGATAGATCCAACCCCAAAGCACACGAATGTCGCCACACAAGTCTTGAACTACCTTCCTTCATCCCCACACATGCCCTCAGCTTCGAACCCTCATCTTACGACGGCATCATGAGCCTCTGACAAGGTCATAGTAGCGAGGAGGCTGAGCCAAAAGTGACAAGAGGTGTTTGGGGGTTTAGGGTTGAGCTTTTTGGGCCTTAGCGCCGTGAGACTGATCATGCTCGGCTAGTCCTTTTCGGTGACTTAGGCATTTCCTTTTCAGGATCCGGGGTTCAGGTTTTGTCTTTGACCAAGCTGCGGCTTGTTTTTCTGTCCCCGCTAGTCGGCTAGCTTCGCAGCACTTGGTGTCTCTCTGGCCAAACCCACAGCTTGAAACCGAAGCTGTCAACTATTTCCTGCCCGAATCCCCAAAATCTAAGCCCTGAGTGAACCCTACAGCATTTGCTCTCTGCGGAGCTCAGGAGAGATACTCGTTGGCGGCAAGCGCTGCAAACACAGGCCGCTTGTCGGGTTGGGACTCCTGCTGTGGGTCCTCGCGCTGGTGCTTGAAAAGGGGGTTTATGAAGGGTGTCATAAGGGTGTCATAAGGTTTGCACAATGGTTTTGCACGGTGTTATCATGTCTTGCGCTCTTTCCTTTTCACTTGCATACAGCCTGAACCGTCCTGCTCGCTCTAAACCCCACTAAACCCTGCGCTCCACTCCCCCAAGGCTCGGGAGCCGGGCACCCCCAATCGGATAATCGGAAGAAAGCAAGGTAGACGGCTTCTGCTCCTCGACAGGCTGGTGCATGCATTTTTGTCCCTAGCTGGAGCTGTCAGTCAGAGGTGGCTACTTACAACTACCCTACAAATCCCCAACCCTTCTCTACCCCCTGCCCCAAATTCAAAGTATGTGAGCTGGGCCTGAGATGCCAACGAGCAGCGCAGCTCTTCCGCATTCCTATTGCCAGAACTCCTATACCCCAATCCTGCACAGATTGATAGTGTTCCAGGTTTGATGTTTCGGCCTTTTGGGAAGATGACTTGCAGCCCGAAAGCTCCAAGCATTTACGAAGCATTGCAAGTCTGCGCCCTTGCAGGGGGCTGCAATGCTTCGGAGAGGCCGGGCCACCTTGGGCCACCTTGACCCCTGAACCGCCTAAACCCTAAGACGCTACGTTTTGGGGAGTGCAAAAAGCCCAGGCTTGCCTGGCTCACGGAGAAGCCGTTACTGCCAGTAACATGGACGTTCGAGTTGCCGAACCTTCTAGTTTCATCTCCAGTATAGTTTGGGATCTTGGGCTTCGCCTTGGTTTCGGACCACCATGTTTTGACGTTGAGTTTATTCCGATTGCGGCGTTGTCCGGGATGGAAGGGCATTGGGCATTGGGGTTGTTGTGGATGTTGTTGCTGTTGCTAATGTGTAGCATACTTTCGCTGTTGCTGTGCTGTTTCTTGTATTTGCTACGTGTGTGTTCCGGTTTGGTTCACTGTAGCAGGGTTGTCTAGAGTCTAAATGTTGTTTGAATTGCCATGAAGTCCCTTCAATTTACTAAAACCCTGCATGAGGTCTCTGTGGAATCGCCTTGAGCTGAACATCACACGAATCCCAGTTATCACTCAGCGTTCGTGCAAACCGCCACGAGCGGCTTGCAGTGATCACGTTTTGTCAAATCGAGCCGCCGGATTCTGACCTCAGCCCCCAAACCCCCGCAACTCAAGCAAGGACACTACCCCACCCCTGAGACTTTTGGATTTGTCTCGTCGGACATTTCGGCGATTCAATGTTCCGGTGTTCAGGGTTTAGGGCTCAGGGTATTCAGGGTTCGGGGCTCTCAAAGGCAAGGACACGGAACCCGGGCCTGTGAACCCCACATCTAAACGCCTTAAGGGTCTGAAAAGCCGGTTCAGACTGTTTCTCGAACCCAGAACCATGCTGTAGTTGAAAGGACTTCGCATGTCTTTTCAGCGGAAAGCGTTGTTTAACAAGAGCTTCAACAACAGCCCTGCATAACTCAAGCAATAGTTCAAATAAGCTGGCACGAAGCCCCAAGCCAAAACCCTCAATATTCAACTAACCCTAACGTAGATCCCTGATTAGTTCTATCGCTACGCAGCCCGCCTCGGCTTGACAGTGCATACGAGAGATGAACGTCTTTTGTCGACAACCTTTGCCTTTCCTTCAGGCCACCATGCAGGCCATAAGTCGACTACTGCTGGTCTGCCTTTTTGGACTTAGTCGGATAATTTCCGCTGAACCATTTAACTAAACCTTCAACCGCCTGTGTTGCCGCAAGAGGAGGAAGAGGAAGGGGGGGGGGGGACGGAGGGATGGACTGTTCAGGACTATGTCACAAGCTGGTCTTGGCCAGGCAGGGAGCGGCCGGGGGGAGAGCGGATTGTCAATTGGCCAAAATGGATTGGGGGAGGAGGATTAGGTGGTGGGTACTTAGTTTAACCCTCAAGACGCCGGAGGCCTGTGGCCTCGGCGGATTACGTGCACGCATGGTCGTAGTCGTAGTCGTCATCATCAGCAGCATCCTCATCCTCCTCATCGTCCTCAACATCCTCGTCGTCGTCGTCGTCGTGGTGACCATCATCAGCCATGAAACTGCGAGCAGCCGAAACAACGACGAGATGAGCACTGCGCACTTCAGAACACGATTGACTTGGCGAGTACAGAAAGAAACAAAGCACGAACAGACTCGACCTGAATGTCAAGCTGTGCGGCCAGTCAAGCAACTGCTTCAAGCTAGATGAAGACCTGAGCATGGGAACGCCCGCAACATACGTGGTGTGCACCGGCCCGGATACATCTCTCTCTTCGTGCCGCGCCGTTCGCAAGCTCGCCCGCCGCCTGTGAAAAGATAGGCTCGCGCGTCCGAAGGCCCACCTCCCAGCACCCGCCACCATGCCATGACAGACAAAGACACAAAACAAAAGCACGCACTCGCTCGTCGCATCACATAAACCCAAGAGACAAGGGCATGAGCACATACCAGCGGCAAGCGGGTGGCGTGTGACTCTAGCAGTATAGCTGCATACACGAGTAAGACTGAGTACGGGCCACGAAACCGATTTCTCTTTCAGGTCCCGGGACACGGACTTCCGAAGCCTCCGTGACAACCTGATCTTCGACGATTCGCGCCTCCTTGAGGCTGGCAACCCCCCCCCCCCTTTTAAGGTTTTTTGGGCTTTCTCCGTAGCCGAAGTCTCCAGGATCCCAGATCCATCGCAGTGAGCGAGAGGCGTTAAGGCCGTCAAGGCCCCTCTAGAGCTTCCGCCGTTAAATGGCGCTCGCCGAACCCTGGCTCAGATGCTCAAAGCACTGAGTGTTGGGGGCCTTTTTAGAAACACCTATAGGGGGTCCAGCATGCGTGCATTCCTGTGCAGTCCAGGCTGTGGAATGCATAAGGCGGCAATGTTTTGGGACTTGCTTGCATGTTGGCCTGGAGAGATGCCGGGCTGGGCCGGCCCACTCACTGAAAGTGAAGTGTTACCACCTGCTTAGGCACATAGGTCCCAAGGTGCAACCTGGGTGGGGTGCCTGCAGCGTGGAGGCTCATCCTCTGCTGAAAGGCGCGCCTCTTCGATGCGATGGCAAAGGGGCCAAAACAAAAAGCGGCAATTGATTTGCTCTCGCAGCCTCTGTTGAGACCCCTCAGGGCCGCTTCGCGGATCGAGACGTTAGCGGCTTTAGCACGCCGGGCCTGGCCGCAGCCCACCATGACTTGAGAGCAGCTCGTCAGATTTGCAGAGGCCCCCGGTGCACCGGGCCGTGTCGCTTGCATCTGAAGGTTGTTCGCTTGGCCTGGATGGCCGAACTGGCCTTTTCGCCAGCCCCGAGAGATGTGGGGAGGCAGGATGTGGCGGGAGTTCCATCAGACGTCCCTTCCTCTGCTTCCGAGGCCGGGGCACCAAGAAGAGGATGTTCCTTTCTGGGAGGAGGACGGCTACGTCGAAATGGGCGAGGGCGAGCTCCAGCACCGATCCGAAATGGTGACCGGACCACTGGAGCCGCAAACTTCCGCACCGTCCGCGCCCCGCCGCAACTCCATGCCGGGACTTACCGTGGCTCGCCGCCCCTCTGCTACATCGGAGAAAGCACGGCCCTCGCCAAGCTCGCCGTCCTCGCCGCAGCCCGACTCGAAGTCACTCGATAGTTCCGTGGCATCCAGCTTCGATGTGTGGACGCCTCAGACAGCGACAGCGACAGCAGCCTCAGTCACGGGGGCAACGGTGGTGCTGCGAGGTCGGAGCTCAAAGCAAGAGAGAGAGCAGAGTCGGAGTTGTCGGGTCCCAAGTTCTGGACGTCTGCCCGGGCACATTGACGTGACTTCTGCAAGTCGGCCTGCATGTGTTGCGTGGCTGGGTTGAGTGGGGATCGGAGAGGCATACAGGGATACCTAGCAGTTCGTGGGGAGAACTTGTCGTGGGTTTGTTGCGTAGACGGGTCCACAAGCCTGCCACTGTGCATTACTGTATTCGTAGAGTCGTACACGCATACATACATGTGTATGCATGTACGTACGATATGTATGCATGCCGCATGCCTTTGTATGTATGACATGGCATGAATGGGTGGGTGGGTGGGTGGGTGGGTGGGTGGGTGTATGCATGTATGGATGGATGGATGGATGGATGGATGGATGGATGCAGGTATGTGTGTAGGCAGGCAGAGAGAGAGAGACGTTGGGAGGAAGGCAGGTCTGTTCTTCGAGAGATGCACGGACATGGTGCATTGGATGAGTTGGAGATTTGTATGTGTGTCGGCAAAGCGCAGGCAGATTAGGAGATTAGCGCGGAGCACAGCGGAAGACTGAAAGGATGATCAGCTTTTGGCAGAGAATTCGTAGTGGCTCATTGGGGCAGCCTCCCCATCCCGTACAGCACGAGGGAGGTGGGTTCTTGGCTGCGCCTCTATGCTGGCAAGGCGGCGCGAGCAGCGCGAGCAGTGGCTGCAGGCTTGGCCCTTATCTTCCTTTCCCCTTGCGTGATCCCTCAGCTTGTCCTGCCAGGTGCCGAGGTTTCATCCGGCGGCAGCTGCTGCGGTGTCGTCAGGACGTTCCAAGCTCCAGCAAAATCAGAGACCGTCGTTCTATTTTAGTGGCCAGGAAGTCGTGAGCGCATGCTGGTGGAGACCTTGCTAGTGTCGCCACTGCCCGAATGAAGGGTTCCGACAGCGGCAAGACGAGTGGTTTTTGCATAATTTAGGGACTTTAGTGCACGAGGCTTCGGCGATTTCGGGGAACCTCTCTGAAGGCCGGGGGTTGGAAGTGCATTGCACGGCAGCACTTTGCTTTCAAAGGCCTGGCGCTGCGACTTCGACAAGCAGGGAGTAGGCACCGTCGGATTCGCAAGGCGCCAAAGCCAAGGCCAAGGAGGGTTTCTGTGCAGAGGCTGGGTCAGCCAGGCGGAGTTCGCACGCGCCTGCCGCTTCTTCGGGTTGGGGGGGGGGGTGGAAGTGTCGGGCACTGGTGACGGACCAGCTTCGCGCGAGCCGCTTGGAGAGGTGTTCGGCGGAGCAAATCTGGCAAAGCTGCCGCGTGAGCGGAGGAGAACCGTGGCTTCGAAAGAGGGTCAAAAGCCAGAAGCACATCACCCTTGCCGCAGCTCGTGGTGGCCCTTGAGATACCCGATGCTGGACCACCCTTTCAAGTCCAGGAAAAGACAAGAGAGAAGACCCCCTTTGTAAACACGCCCCCAAAAAGCAGTGACACGAGATACCCACAAGACAGCGGCGCGCGGCTCCCGAGCCATGCCATGACGGCCTCCCTGGGCCGGCTGCTGCTGGATCAGGCGCCCGCGCTCAGAGCGGCCGCAGAGAGCGCAGAGCGGGGCTGGGGAGGGCTCTTTTTGAGGCCCAGCGTCAGGAACACACGGACCTGGAGCCGGGGCCCCGGCGCCTTCGCTCCTGGGCCCTTGCCCCCTCTTCCTATTCGCTTGCTTCCCCCTTCTCAGGATCGCCGTGGGCCCGGAGGATGCCAGCTGCACTCTGGCGGCCCACCAGTCCGTGCTGGCAGCCCGAAGCCCCGTCCTGGCGGCGATGTTCCGGCACAAATTTCAGGAGGGCCAGACCGCGAAAGTGCGGCTCGTGGACGTGGACGTGGAGACCTTCAAGCAATACCTCCACCTCCTCTACACCGGCATCCTGGCCAGGAAGCCAGCAAACCATGGCAAACAGAGTCGAGTGTCCGTTGTTGCCGGCTCTTTGTCGTTCTTCAGAGATCCCCTACATCCGTCCTGTTGCGCGAGAATGGCTCGTTGAGAGTGTAGGGTTTCTCTCCCGAGGCGACCTTGAGGAAGACTTGAACCTCGACAACATTCTGGAGGCCTTTTGGAGAAAAGCCGTGCCAGCTCGCTGCGCTTTTTGTCGCGTGCTCAGGTGCTAGTGATCGCAGACCGGTTTCAGTCCCCCGGTTTCGGGGATGTCTTGGCCCGGCGGCTGCGGGACTTGGTGCCTCGGCTTTCAGATGCCCGCGTCCCTTGGCGGCGCCCCGACCTTGAAGCGCAGCGTAATGCTTCGCCAACCCTCAAGAACCCGCGCTCAGGGCCTTACATACCCCCAAAAAGAGCATCCTTGCAAGCAGTTTGCAGAAGAGGTCACATGGGACGAGACGGTGGGCAAAGTGATGATGACCTACGTTCGACTCCCGGAGGACGAAGGGACCGAAGGGAGTCTAGCCGCCTAGCCATGCGGGTTGCGGGTTTGTCCGGAGGACAGCGAGTACTCTGGTAGCCTGGTCGGGGTGCAGCTCAGCTGAGCCAGCCATGCCAGTCTTCATCTCTCTTTGTTCCTGTCCGTAGAGACGGCCCCCATCTCGCCTGTGATGCGTGACGTTGTGAAGCCAAGGATGGGTGACCAACTGACGCAGCTGAGTTTCAAAGATGCCTTGCGGCAGACGCAGAAAGCGGTCCTGCAGCCGATTGATGAAGACACGTCTCGGCTAAAGGCGTCTTGTGCATGTATGTGCATGTCATTGCGAGTGTCCAGCAGTATGCAGTCCTGCATGCTATGCTGCTTGAGGCCATTGCTGCTCGAGGACTCATCTTCTCCATGTTGGCCTTCCCCATCATGCGGGACATTGCAGACGAGGCGCGAGTTGCGCGTCCGGCAGCGCCGCTGCGGCTGCAGAGCTCGTGCCGTGCCCATGGTTAAAGGCGGTGAACAAGCGAATCGTCTGTTTGCTCTCGCTGATCACGGACACCTTCGGCTCCCTCTGCGAGCTCCCCGATGAGCCGCGGGCAGCCAAGCGCCGCCGAGCCGAGAGAGCGGAGGCCGGTCCCGGTGCCGGGGCCGCCTGATCGGGCCTCGGGAAAAGAGTGGCGAGTCCGTGGGAGTGGGAGCGGAGTAGGCGAGGGCCCCCGCAAGAACCGTGGTTGCAGAGGAGCCGGGATGAAATTCTGGGAGCCGCCGCCTCGGAGAAAAGCGAGGGGAGGCGGAGCGGTCGGCACGTTTTTGCCGGAGGCTGGACCACGAAGAAGCCTCGAATCTGGAGCTCTTCGAGCAGGCGCCGCAGTGCTGCGGTTGGAGTTGAGGTTTCTGGCTTCGGACAGGTGCTTTGGATCCGGACGGGCTTCGACCTCTCCAGAGCCTGGGCCGCTGGCCTCAGAGGCTGAGCGGTTCCGAACTGCGCAAAGCGCCCCGCTCGCCCCGCTGCGGCGAAAGGGCGGGTCTTCGCTCGCGTCTCCGAGGCCATCCTAGATCCCAACAATCGCCAGGCGCCGCTGCGCGCATCGAGGGAATGCAAGAGCGGAGATGGCGGAGATGGAACTGCCCCGATGCTTTTGTGGCCGGAAATGTGCTGTCAAGAGGCCTTGACGCTTCCCGAGTTCGTGAGGGGCTGCCGGCGCTTCCCTCAGAACCCCTTCTGTTTAAGCGTGCAAGAAGAGATGCGTCCTGCAAGGGAGTTGGGTTTCGATGGCGATGCCGTGCGGGGAGCTTTTCCGTGATTTGCTTAAGCCTTTCAATCAGGAGTCTCTTTTCGTCATGGGCTGAGGCACATCTTCAAAGGCCGAATGCGCAGATTGCAAGTCGTCCAAGCAGCATCTTATTCTACGGTTTGCAGGCAGCCGCTGTCTAGCTCGAGCTTGGGAAGAGCTCCCGAGAATGGAAACTCTGCAAGTAGCTCCGTTTGAGCCACGGGCAGAGCCCCAACTAGCGCCATGGGAAGAGATGACAGCGAGGCCTCAGATGCTGTTTTGCAGAAGATCCGGCTCCTTTTGCGCCACCTTGACAAGGAGAGGCTATTCTGAATACTATCTACCTGTTTCTGTGCGCGGGTGCCTGCTTTTCGCGGTTCTCGCCCAGGACCGCACCGGGACGGTCAGCCAGAGGCAGTTTGAGTGGCTACTCCGCCCCCTGGCTAACCCCCTCCAGAGAGAGACAGAAGAGCACCCCCCCCCCCCCACNNAAACCCTAAACCCTAAAGGCGCTAAACCCTAAAAGCCCTAAAAGCCCTACGTCAACTCAAAGCCAATTCCCTCAGCAGGCAGCAACCTGCCGGCGGTGGAGTCTGTGAGCCGCGAGGACCTGGACCAGATGTGGTCCACCTTTCAAAAGCGTGCAGATGGGGATATCGAGTACGAGGACTTCCATAGAGTCCCAGTGACAGTAAGGTTACAGAGTCTCCAAAATAGGAGTATGATATGTGAAACTAGTGCAACTAGTCTATACTGAGGGTTCCTTGAGGGTTGAGGGTGGAGGTACGGAGGAAACTGCAACTGTAACCCTTTACCAGGATCTCATCCAGTGGATCTTGAAGCCCAGCACTCCGCTGACGGTGAGTTCGACCTGGGAGTTGACCTTCTTTGACTTGAAATCTCATTTGGAGCCTTTGTTCTGGGTCTGGCTCCCAGGTCTGGGATATCTAGACAGGTGGCGAAGCAGATAGATTCGTGGATAGATGGATGCGCACCACTGGCATCTTAAATTTATTCAAGTTCAATTTAGAGGTCTACGGCTCGAACTTGAACCCGAGACTCCGAAGATTGAAGACGTCTGGCAATGCGTTAGACTTAGCCTCCGTGTGCATGCATGCGTTTACATGAGTGGATACACCAAAGCAAGGACTTAGCCATGAAATTGAAATCTAGCGATTACATGCGGGAAATGTGGAAGCCACGTTTTACTTGACTTTAGCGTTTGCCTCGTACAGAGTGTAAATTTGAAAAAGTTGAATACGGCTTCGGAACATGAACGCTAGAGATGTACAGTGTGTCACAGACTCGCATACAGCTTGACTGCTCAAGACTTTCTTTCAGCAGAGTACAGAGGCCGCTAGTGCGAAGGGTCGCCCTGGCTTTGTCTCTTGCCTGTGCAATTAAACCAACGGCAAGTAAACTCTGCTTCGATCTCATTGCGACGCATTGCCTTTGCTGTTGCCCTGCTTGCTTCCTTATACGATTGGAAGAGCCCTGCTTTGTGACCGAGAGTTGAATGGATTCCTCTGCTTTTCACAGGTTGTCAGTCGTAGGACCTCTAGCTTACGAGTATATATATATATATCTCGCTCTCTCTCTCTCTCT